CTGCATTATATATATATATATATATATATATATAATTACTGAATCTATAAAGAAAGGTTTCTAATTGAAAAAGTCCACTCTGATCTAAATAATCTACAGACATACTTCCAACTAAAAGTGTTTAAATAGTATAAAAACAAACATCGTTCAGTATTTCTTACACTCTTACAACTAATGCACTAGTACTTTATGAACTGTGATGTCACTTTTGTAAAACAAAATCTCATATAAGTACTAGTGTGTGAGCATTTAGTGTACCAAGTAGAACTGGCCTTTATCTAGAAAAACCTTGTCACTCAGTAGTTCAATCACATGCAGGTCATAGAATATTACTTTACAATTTTAACATCATTATAACTAGACATATATAACCTGAATGTCTCATTAGAGAATTCCCTCTAGTTGTACAAGATCATCCTCATCTAAATAATCTAGAGACATCATGAAACTAAATCTTGTCTTCCTAATACAATGACAAACAATCATCATAGATATTTCATGTATCCTAAATTGCTACTAATATGATAGTATGGTAGTTCAACTTAGTGTTTCTTTAGTTTTCTAGAGTTTTCTGTTTTCAAGTGTCATTAAGATTTTATCTCATTTGTACTTTTATATCTTCATATAACTTGTTTTTAAATTTTCCTGATGATTGAATATATATATATATATATATTTCAAAATGTCAACTCCTGTAAATAAAATGTTTTCCCTTCTCACTATCTTTGTCTTAATTAGTAGATCAACTGAAACTATTTAGTGACAGTTGGTTTACTAATTAAGACAAAGAGAGTGAATTAGGGAAAAAAAACATTAGTTATTAGACCAACTGAAACTAGTTAGTGTCAGTTGGTCTACTAATTAAGACAAAGAGAGTGAATTAGGGAAAAAAACCATTAATTATTAAACCAATGAAACAATTTAGTGTCAGTTGGTCTACTAATTAAGACAAAGAGAGTGAATTAGGAAAAAAAACATTAGTTATTAGACCAACTGAAACTATTTAGTGACAGTTGGTCTACTAATTAAGACAAAGAGAGTGAATTAGGGAAAAAAACATTAATTATTAAACCAATGAAACTAGTTAGTGTCAGTTGGTCTACTAATTAAGACAAAGAGAGTGAATTAGGAAAAAACATTAGTTATTAGACCAACTGAAATTATTTAGTGCACATACATAACAGTGAATTATGATGTAAAAAAAATAAATCAAGCTACTGAAAAATATGCTCCATACAGAAAGATAGTGCAGTTGCACTTATGTACTGACTACATAATTCTGTGTTGTAAACTTAGCTGTATTATCATATGGAGTTGAATTTACACCAAATGTAGGTTTTTTTATATGGCAAGTTTATTTTTTAAATTCTTATAAGTGCACTTTTTAGATAAGAAGATTACATGTACAGTTCTGATTGGTAGAGGATGCAATCACATACGTTTCATTGGAAATAACAGTGCAATGACATTTTGTAGTTTGATAAAATGCGATATTTGTATAATTTAAGGAAAAATTTGGAAATATGAAACTGTTTTATCACATTGAAACATAAAAATAGATTAACATTATTTATGTTGGTGTCTGTGCAGTTGCTGGGTAAAATACTTGGAACTTAAAAGAATAACAATCTCCAGTTTAGATATATGTCTGAATATATATGATATATGTTTCTGTACAGATTTTGGAGTGGTGTACAAATATGCATACTGGGAAAATCCAATAATGTAAGATAAAACTTAAGTAAGATGAAAGAACCATCAGTGAACAGTGCATAACTTTGTTAACATTTTGTAGCTTGCTTTTATTCCTGTTGTTATTTAAAAGTAGAAGTAGTATGACAAGAGTGCATTTGGAATACCATTACACATTGTTACACTCAAAAAATGAACAAAAAGTGTATTTTAATTTATCCTTTCTATAAATACACACAAAAATATCCTGACTTTCTCAAGCATTGAGAAATGCTAATGTACTTTAGAGTTTGATCAAAAATAACCTCATGTGCCAATGAAAGAATTCCCTACAGCTTTTGCACATTCTGGAAATTTTCTAATTACTGTTTGAACATTGTTCCTTCAAGAGTTATATAACTAATATCCCTGCTTGTGACATGAACGATCCCTACTGAAGACCACATTTATGGTAATACTAATTACAAACCTCTTGAGCTTCCATACTGTGCTATGTTCACTAGGATATCTATGGGAGGACAACTTTGACAACTGTTTTCATCAGTGCACATAACCAAATATTTGACTTCTTAGTATGTAAAATACTGGACTACATTCACAATTAATAAAACATATCCAGACATAGTGTTTCAGATACAAAGCTGTTTGGATGAGCCCTCAAATCATGCATTCTTTCACTCTCAGTGCTTTTTTATTTTATTTTTTCAAAGTATTTAGTTATGTAGATTTATTTTAGAGACATTGTTAGAAGTTTATATTTTTTGTTCACTCACGTTTCCTTTTACCTATTGAATTACCTAATTCCAATACTTCTAATAATAAAAACAAAAAATCATATTATGAAACTTAGTTGAAAGGATGGCAACTGCCTGTTGTAGAAACACAAGTGTAGAGGACGATGTTTCAAAAGTCTTCTGTCTTTCATCTTCATTCTATCAAAGAAGCCCACCAGTGGCACAGCGGTATGTCTGTGGACTTACAACGCTAGAAACTGGGTTTCGATACCCGTGGTGGGCAGAGCACAGATAGCCCTTGTGTAGCTTTGTGCATAATTAAAAACAAACAAAACAAACAAACTATCAAAGAATAAAAAAACATATTAGTTTCTGCACTTATAACAACTTACTGCTTTTAAACCAAGTTTACAGCAGGTTATTGATATCCCTATAGATGCTAAATATTCTCCTAGTGTTGTTAATTAATATTGTTACGACAGTGGAAGTCACGCGACGCTGGAAGCATGTGTGCTGGAGTTTCTATAAAGATCGTGAATTGTCCTGGCAACTCTAGTCTCTTCCAGGCACCCTCTATTTTAGTATATAAGCCCGGCAGATAATTTGCAGATAGATAGATATAGAGACAGATAATTGAGTCAAGCGAGTGGTAGTGATGGTAATATAAAGT